GAGAGAGAGAGAGAGAGAGAGAGAGAGAGAGAGAGAGACCTATAAACCTATGGTACAACATAGGGCCTATAGTTCACAGCACTATTTTTATACTTAAAAGTTTGCTAAGAGGGTAGATCTTCTGTTAACTGTCCTTGGCACATACACAAATAATCCTGATTATAAATAAGGAGGTGGGAGAAGGAACTTTGGAGGAGATGGATAGGTTTATGACATAGATTATGGTGATGGTTTCACAGTGTATGCTTATTGCCAAATGAATTGGGTTGTATACATTAAATCAATAAAGCTTTTTGCATGCCAATTATACCTCAACACGATTTTTTAGAAAGAATAGAAGGGAATTTTAGTCAATAAGTAAATAGCATACAAGTAATTTTCCCTTTCTCCAACAGTCTTTCTTCCTTTTTCCTCTGGACCTCTAGCAGCTGGATTCTACATTACTTGTGGGCCAGTCTGTGTCATAGTAGACAGTTATACCTACAGGTGTGAAGCCTGAGCTGCTTGGGCCAGGCTGCAGTGATTCTGGTGCTTTTGAGGATTTCTTGATACATTTCTTCTGATGCATGTGGGCAAGGCTTTCTCCAGAGCATTTCTTTCAGTCTGCGGAGATAATATCATTCCAGTGTTTTGTGACCAGAATTAAAAAAGAAACTGAAATAGACTAAGAATTACTTATATGCAACAGATCTTTAGCAGGAGTCACATTTGATATCATTTTTGTTTTGTATTTTTAAATCTAGTAAGGAATTCCTTTCTGAAATGCTTGTTATTTATATGTGCACACATGTTTATATATTCTGGGTCATGACAAAAAGAATTTCTTACTATGAGTTTTTGTCAAAAATAATTGAAAAGCATTACTATAAGACAGATAGCTGGCAAGGTGGTAGGACACAAGAGTATCCTAATTTGCTAGGGAATACCAAGTTGTTTTCCAAAATGATTGTATCAGTTCATACCTCCACTAGCAGTTCTCATCCATAAGTGTCCTTGGCATTTGCTGCCAGACTTCTATTTTTTGCCAGTCAAATGGGTTTAAATTCTTCTCTTATTGTGGTTTTAATTTATATTTCCCTTGTTTAAGTGTGTCTCTTTCCACTCTTTGCAGCTGATCTGAACAACATTAAGTTCTCAGCTTATCGCACTGCCATGAAGCTCCGCAGAGTCCAGAAGGCCCTGCGCTGTACGTCTCCCATCATACTTCCCTACGGCTTTTATCACCATTCTCCTGTTCTGAAGCAGATTTCTGTTTCTCACTTTCATTCCATCTTGGCCAGAGTTGTTGACTGGTTTGGTGGGAACTCTTCAAAGGCTGGGACATGCTGGCTGTGGACAAGTGTTTTCATTGATCTCAAGCCCCAGACTTGTTTCGATATTAAGCCCACTCCTATCCAGCTACTTGACCCTTTTCTCCTACCCCTACATGGTTAATCAGGCAACTGCTTCATGATAGGAAGTATTCCAGCCCATGGTTTTGCATGGGTTATTTGATGTACCAGAACTATTGACACAAGTTTCAGTGGAAACTATTATAAACTATTATCTCTGCAGACTTATATGCTTAGTGTGGCTGCAGATATAGTATGCCTATTGATTTTCTTGGGGACACTGTTCATTTAAGCTTCCTGACCCAAGTGTGTCCGGTTAGTCTGATTCAGCTTTGATAACGATTAAAACATCCTACTGCCAGGTAAAATTACAGCCCTGTAATCCGGGTGGTCAGGAGGTTGAGGCAAGAGAATGGTAAGTTCCAGGCCAGCCTGGACAACTTAACAAGACCCCATTACAAATTTTTTAAAAATAATGTAATCTGTGGATGTAGCTCAGTAGTAGAACATTCCTAGGTTCAATCCTCAGAATTGAAAGAAAATTCCTGATTTGTGACACATTTACCCAAGTATATCTGAAATTTCATAGTCAGCATCTAAGTCCTCAGAACAAGATCCATGGAGAAATCTATTTACAGGAAAAACTTGTGCAAAGACAGGGAAACTTAAAATGGTATATGAAACATGCTATCCAAGAAAAAATGGTATATGATCCCTTAGGAGTCAATACAACATAGGAAGTGAGTTTATTCACATCTCGCCGTCTTCTTAAACTGTTGTCAAACAGTTTTGAGTATGGAAATTAAGGGGAGGGTTTTGTTTTGTTCTGCTACTTTGCCCTCCTTGGAAGGAGGGCCTTGATAAAGAACCAGCTTGCTTCATACTGCAAGCAGTTGGGCCACTTGCTTTATACTTATAAATTCAGGGCTGCTGGTGGCTTTACTTCCTTCTCCAGTCCCTGAGGTTCTAGTTGGGGCTATATTTTTCTCTCTTTCTCTTCTTTTTCTTTCCTTTCCAGTGGATCTAGTAACTTTAACTACAGCTCTTGAGATCTTCAATGAACATGATCTGCAGGCCAGTGAGCATGTGATGGATGTGGTAGAGGTCATTCACTGCCTGACTGCCCTATATGAAAGATTGGAGGAGGAAAGAGGCATCCTGGTCAATGTGCCACTGTGTGTAGACATGACCCTCAACTGGCTCCTCAATGTTTTTGATAGGTAAGAGCTCTCAGTCCTAGAAGCCTCTAGGATAAACTTAATGGCACATCTCCAATGAGCATGGTAGGAAAGGGTCACTCTTATGGTGGACTTGGACCCAGCTCAGCTTAGGACATGGTTGACCAGAGTTCTGCTGAGGTTAACACAGTGAGGAAAATGACTGCCAAGATGTTAATCCATTACATATATTCATGTTCTCAGTCTGTTCTTTTAAACCTAGTGGTCGCAGCGGAAAGATGCGGGCATTGTCCTTTAAGACTGGCATTGCATGCCTCTGTGGCACAGAAGTGAAGGAAAAACTTCAGTGTGAGTACAACTTCAAAGTCTGGAGTGGTGTTTGGTGGAGGGAGAGGTCTTGCAGGGAGGAAAAAAGGGTATAAGACAAGCAGAAGGTAGGTCTTATTACTCAGCAGAGGGCTATTTAGGCCACTTTGTGGTGCATCCTGGCCCAGATTACTGTGAAGAATACATAGCAGCCAAAGGCCAAGATGGCCCTAAGGCTTGTTATTAGTTCCTTTTCCATGTCTTTGGGTTTCTAATATGATATAAATACTTAGGATCTGAAATAAGTTTTTAGGATCTATATCCTGGAGTATCCAGAGCCCCTGGTTTGTAGTTGTTGTCCCCAAGTCCTAGCAGGCTTAGCCCTCTCCCAGTCTGAAGCTGAAACCAAGTCACACATTCTTCTGGAGACTTCTTGTGTGTTTATAAAGATGGAGTATAATAATACATATCCTCTGAAAGATTCGCAGCCTATACTTTTGTAGTTTTTACCTCTCTGGTTTATAGTATCTTTGCTTTACCCTCTCTCCTCCATCTTGTGTTCAGTATTTTGAACTTTTCCACAGTAGCACTGTTATTTGTTGAATCCTAATGTGTGTTGACCTTTCTGTTAAATGTGACTACCAGGCTAAATTAGATAGTGTTACTTCCTTCAAATGGTTTAGCTTAGAAGAAGAGACAAAAACAGACAAAAATCATTCTTTACAAAAAGTATAAGCTGGGTGTGGTGGTGCACTTTGTAACCCTAGCATTCTGGGAGACTGTGGCAGGAGGGTCACAAGGTGAAGGCTAGTCTGGACAGGTGAGACCCTATCTCAAAGAAAAAATATTTTTAAATGTATCTCAGTATTAAGGCCTTGGTCCCAATTCTCAGTATTACAAAACAAAGAAACAAATATTTAGATGGTACTAAGGAAAATAATCCAAGTGGCAAAGAATATGTGCTATATAAGATCACTGAAGACTTATGACAATGGTCTGAGAAAACTTCACCAGGAAGGGGTATTTCCAAGCATGTTGATGGCTATATTATTTTCCCAGCATTTCCTTGAGATGGGATGTTCAGTGATCATTTATGCTCAATTTTTAATTAAGAAAACTGCAACACAGACAGGTTCATAACTTACTCAAGATTCCATACCTAGTGGGTCATGGATCTAGAACTTGAATTCAAGCCTTTTGGCTTTTGCTTCTGCGTGTTTTCTAGGCCTTAGGCAAGGTATGAAGGATGTAGCAACAGCCTCTGGAAGAGGTTTGCTAAGGTTGGCCTGGGAAGAAGAAGGTCCCAGAAGAGCCATTAAAATCCATATTATATTACAAGTACCATACTATCTGCAGAAACACTTAGATGTCATTTTTAGATGATTAGCTCCTCTTTTTGATTTGTCAGTTTTCCTTTCATTGTGTGGAAGGAGGAGAGAAGGAACTGAGAGATGACTGAAGTATCACATTGTGTTAGTTACATGAATAGGAGAGGATATGGCCCCTGATGGTTACAACATGGTCAGGTGCCCCCAGCCCACAGCGCTTATCTTGCTTCTCGAGGCATCTGTCTTCCCAGCGGTGTCATGCATATCTGTGGCTAGGACTGCTCTTAATTCCCCTTTTCTCCTTCCCTTCTCTTTCCCTACATTTATGATGTTTTCTTCTTGTGTCTCTTTTTCTCTCTGAACTCAGGGAATGCTCTTTTTAAAATTCCTAGACTTCTAAAAGATCAAGAATGAAATTCTAGGTAATTGCACTTTCAAAAGTCCATGTGCTCAGTCCATGTGCTCTTTCCCTCCCCTCCTCTTCTGCTTTTTCTCCTCATACCATTCTCTGGCCATTCCTGGATTGGGACTGGCCATTCCTGATGGTGGGCCGAGCAGACCTCTTCAGCCAAGTAGCCAACTCAGGCAGCCAATGTGACCAACGCCATCTTGGTGTCCTGCTTCATGAAGCAATTCAGGTGCCCCGTCAACTGGGTGAAGTGGCAGCCTTCGGAGGCAGCAATGTGGAGCCCAGTGTCCGTAGTTGCTTCCGTTTTGTGAGTATGAAGCTCCAGAAGGAAGTAAGAGGGGAGGGAAGATGAGAGGAAAGAAACATGGACCAAAAGCTAGGCATTTCATATGAAGTATTTTCATGTAAGAGAGTTTGTAGGGATGGGACAACAAGACAGAGAGTTTACTGAGTCCTGGGGTTGTAGTCCTGTTAGAGAAGGTGCCAGCTCAACTACAGCAGGGCAGAAAGTGGACACCTCTGCAGAATAAACCAATCCAGGCTCTGCTGGTTTACCTGCTTTTCTAAGAGCTACCACTCTAAGGACTAAATACTTTGAGCCTCATTCATTTCCATTGGACTTCTTATTTCCCTAGAGCACTGGGAAGCCAGTCATTGAAGCATCTCAGTTCCTGGAATGGGTCAACTTGGAACCCCAGTCCATGGTGTGGCTGGCCGTGCTGCATCGGGTCACCATTGCTGAGCAAGTAAAGCACCAGACCAAGTGCTCTATCTGTAGGCAATGCCCTATCAAGGGATTCAGGTAGGGAAAAGAGTATGCTTTGATGATAATCATCAGAAATATGTCATGGGTCATATAAATCAGATAGTACAAAACAATGCATTATATAATCACATTATATCTGCAGTAAATCTATGCATTTTTATATATTGTTGTAGTCCTTTCTATTGCAGAATGTTTAACTTTTTTGACAACTTGGAAATGCTGAAATATTTTACTTTGTTTTAGTTGTAATATAAGGTGTACAGAAAAAAATGAAGTGTGAATACTATGTTTCAAATGGTTTTCTAGCAAATGTTTCACAACATACTGTCCAGAAAGAAAATCTAATTTGCAGCATCTACACTGCTTGATATGTGGTTATCTATAGGAAGTCCCCAAGTCAAGTGTGAAGCGGTACATAGTCACACAACATGCATTGTATTTCCACTGTGCTGATATAGGTTGAGTGTCCCTAATCCAAAAATCTGAAATCTGAAATGTTCCAAAATGCATTTTGTATTTCTAGATTAGGAATGCCTAACCAGCAGTCTGTGCCAATATTTCCAAATCTGAAGCACTTCTGGCCTCAAGCATTTTTTAATTTTTATTAATTTTATTGAGACACAGCAATGAGACAGTTTCAAAACCGATTAATATGACAGTTTCAATAATTAATACATTGCATATTGTTATCTTCTTAGTGGTTATTCATAGTACAAGATGAAGACATGATATCCTGTCCAAATACTATTAGTACAAATCTTTGTTCTCATTGAATTAACAGAAAGTAGCTGTATATCTCTCCTAACTATATTGTATATGCAAATACAAAATGGTCCTCCATTTATATCCCCCTTTTTGTTTAGTTTTTTTAGAGATGGGTATTCCATTGTCATTTAAATATTGTAGGTACGTGAATTCAGCAAAATAACCCAATATAGTCCAGTAGTCCATAATAGTAGTGGGTTATCCATAAGACTGGCAATGTCTGAAGTTGTTGACCTCAGTCCCCTACAGCTCAACATAACAACATGGCTTTATTTTTTGTACTTAGTTTTTATACTTTTCTGCTGGATGGTTAAGACCAAGGTAAAGCAGGACCTATGCAACAAGAGTTGTAGGTTTTGGGTCTGATAAGGTCAGTGAAATCCCCTCAGGATTTATCCTGAGATCCTGTATCTCAGATTGTAGAACGTTTGTCAGTGTCAGCCATGTGGATGAGTCACAGCCATTGTTTGGCCCATGTGCTCTCTGTGAAAGCCTGAGAGAATGTTTTCTCTCCATGTGTCTCTCCTTAGGTACACTCTACGTCATTGATCATGCTGCTTTGTGGCCCCATAATCTCCTTGATCAGAAAATTTAGGACACAACAGAGTTACATGATGTTACAGTATAGGTTCTCCTATGTCCTGAGACTTCACTGACCTTGAAAGGCTAGGGCCAAAATGTTGACTGTCCTTGTAGCCCTTGTTTTTCTCTAATTTTTGGTCTGCAAACTTAGGTTGTTAACCATCCAGGATTCTCACCCTGACTAACTATATGTGCTGATACCTGTGAACTAAGCAACTACACTGAAAAAAGCAATATGTAATAGAAAGGTCATGCTTGGAATGCCTGTCCTTCTGGTCTTCTAAATACGTACTGCTTGTCATGACACACCAATTATTTTCATACTGTCTCTCAAGTAAATGTCTTTCTTTTAAAAAGAAGGGGTTAATCAATGAAAAAAAGAGACAAGAAAAAATGTCACAGGACTGTCCTGCTACAATGCAGGTTAGATTTCTAAATTATGGTTAGATTTCTAAATTTCTGTGTAAAAATATGTAATTGTTTATTCATATTTTTAAAATATTTTTTATTTTTTAATTTTTTTCTCTATATTCTGTAGAGACTTAAAGTTTAACATATCAATACTAGATGGAAAATACCTGTTCCGTGTATACCTAAGATGTTTGATATTGAGACAGATAGTGAGGTTAAACCCAACTGCATATGTTGTAGGGTAATAATAAGCTTCTCTCAAGCATTTTAAATAAAGCATACTCAACTTGTACAGTAGGTGTTAATAATCTCAAGAGCATAGATAATGATTAGGAAGGGATGAATTTTGAATATTACATTTGCTTTTATATCATTTATTTAATTGTGAGGTTTTATAACTTAATTTTAAAATAATGGTTGTGTTAACAATTGGCTTGAAAAACCCTTAAAATTTTAATAGCTAGCTCTTGTGAGCTAGTAGGAACTGGCTGTAGCATATTACAGTGTATACCCTCAACCAAGCTTAAGAAATAATGCACTATTACAGTACATTTAAAGTTTCTCTGATTACATTACCCTCCTTCCTCCATAAAAATAGGCACTAATTAGTTTTCATCATAAATCTGGCTAAATCTGGCTTTCATTATAAAATGTGCAATCTTATGACTTTTAAGAGCACAAGCGTACAAATGTCCCTACAAACACCTTGCTTTGTATAAGATGAACAAATAGGGCCAGAGGTGCATGACTCACCCATGTTCACACAGATAATTAGTGATAGATCTAGCACTAAAGATTGCAGTATCTGACTCCTTTAAGTCTCAGAATTTCAGTCTTCTGTACTACTAGATCTGGGCAGTTTAGTCAGGTTTTATTTATTTATTTATTTATTTTAAAGAGAGGGAAAAAAAACAAGTAACAAGAACAAAGACAAAAGCAGAGCAACATAACAATAAAAATGGTACAGAAGTTGAAAACAATAAAAAATTAACAATGGTTGTTATACTACATGTTGTTATCATCAAATTTGTTGCTCAGATTACCAGATATAGGCATGCAAGATTGATCAAACAATTAAAGATTAACTCTTCCTTTCAATAAACCTTATTTTTTCCTTTTCCTTTTCCTTTTTATTATTTTTAAATTTTTTATGTATTTGATACAGTGTCTCACTAGACAGCTCAGACTCATAGTGATCCTCCTGTTTTCAGCCTCCCCAGGGCTAGGATAACAGACGTGTGCCACCATACTCAGTCCAGTAGCAGGCTCAGTGCACCCAGGGGCAAGGCTGGTGCAACCTGTGGTGCCAGAGATTGAACCCCAGTCCCTGCGCTTCCCTAAGCAGTTTATTTATTTATTTTTCACTCAGGTTTTAGAAGTAGATCTGAAAGGCTAGTTTATATTCTGTAATATTTGTTATTATAATAACCATTAACAATAACTTTTAGCAAGCTTTGTCAAGCCTAGTAGAATAAACCTCCTTTGTAGTGAAAGTTTAACTTCTCCTGGGAGCCTGGACTCTGCTAGGTCACCCTTTAGAAAAGTTTAGAAAGTTATGGATACAATGAGATCTTTACACCTACTACCTCACAAAGCCCCACCCCCTTTTTTGCGATGCTGCAAATTGAACACAACATCTTACACATGCAAACACTCTATCAATGAGCTACATCCCTAGCCATTTTTTTTAATTTTATTTATTTATATGTGTGGGGGGGCCAGCTCAGTCCACCAGGGGGCGGGGCTGGCTGGCATGTGGTGCTGGGGGATTGAACCGAGGTCCCTGTGCTTTGCTAAGCTTGTTCTAACTAGGTGCTCTAGACCACTGAGCCATCTCACCAGCCCTCCCTAGCCATTTTTAAAGTTTTATTTTGAAATGTGGTCAGTCTCACTAATCTATACAGGCTGACCTTGGAATTGTTGTCCTCCTATTTCAGCCTTCTGAATAGCTGAGTTTTCATGTACATGCTAGCATGCTCAATCTACACCTCCTTTGCCCCCCAAAATGGAGGGGTAGTAAAAGAGTGCTATTTCTCTTACTTTCTGGAACATTCAGCTTGTGAATTCATGGAGATTTATGGTCTCTAGAATAAGACTATTCATCTGCTTAAGACTCAGCCAGTGCTATGTATAGGAAATTGAGCATGCCATGAAGCCATGCCTCATCCTTCCTTCTTACATGTGCATATATTTGGATGTCAGGGAAATGGGTGAGGTCACCCCAGCATATTGGATTATCTTTTTTACCATGTCCATCTCTCAAAGGTACCGGAGTCTGAAACAATTTAATGTGGATATCTGCCAGACGTGCTTCTTAACAGGCAGAGCCAGCAAAGGCAATAAGCTGCACTACCCCATCATGGAATATTACACCCAGGTATGGAGCCTCTGGGCCCTGTGGAAGAGAGAAGCAGCTCTCGGGCACTAGCTTTGTCCAGTGGTGGCTTATTGTGTTCTGTTCTTCTGTGGGGAGCATTCACCAAACAGTTTTGGTGATTGTGCAGTATGGGGCATTCAAGCCTCTCTGTTCTTCCATTGAAACTCTCTCACTAGAGTCAGAGTTGGCCAAAGACAGTCTCAGTCATTTAAAGGACACTATTCCAAAAGAAACAGAGAGTATGGCTCACTTGAGTTTTTCCTGGTTAGTTTCCTTTGTAGTAGATTACCTAGATTTCCCCACAACTTTGTCATTGTTTCTACCTCTCCTGGTCAATACAAAAAATGTGTGCTCGAATTGATTACTCAGTCCCTCAGGTGGAGAAAAAATAGGTTTTTTACCTAGGCCCACAAACCTCCCTTGGTTTTCATTAAGCCATGGTGCCTTTCACAGCTTGTGCTCAGCATCTCTGAACTCTAGCCACAGAACTGCTTCTATGCTCCCTCTATTTGAGACCCACAGCTCCACGTGTAGCTTCCTGAAATGACTCTGTTTCCTAAAAGTCAGTATGTCTTTATCTTTTTCTGTCCACATAGATTCTTCTGGAGCCCCAAACGTACTCCCTGCTCCACTCACCTCCTCCCACTCTCTCCCTGATTCTACCTCCCCATCTTTCACTGTGTTTTTCCACTCCAACCTTCCAATCTGTCATCTCCTCAAATTCTGTATCCAATTTTAGATTTTTTTCTAGGAGCAGGGTGTAACAGGCATGAATAAAGATAGAGTACTAGTCACACTCTTTGCTCAAGGGGAGCAGTCATAACTTCATAGACCATCTTGGGAGCCACAAGGGTGAGTTCCTCTACTCTATCTCCCTCCAGACTACATCCAGTGAGAACATGAGGGACTTCGCCACAACCTTGAAGAACAAATTCCGCTCAAAGCATTATTTCAGCAAACACCCTCAGCGAGGCTATTTGCCTGTGCAGTCAGTCCTGGAGGCCGACTACAGTGAGACGTGAGTACAATGTTTGAGCCTGTGTCTGTGTTTCAATGGGCTGAATCCCTGGTATACTAAGGGTGCTCAAGGGCAAATTCCACCAGTGACAGAATAGTTCAATTTGTGCCTGACCCAGGATCTGGACTGAAAAATAGATTAGAATCTAAGCACTGTATTCTGTTACCATCAGCTCTTGCCCATCTCCTTAGTGTGGGTGGTAGGATGCAGTGGGGTAGGGTGGTGAGGAACCAGACTGTGCAGTTATCTTATCTTTGGTTTTCTGACTCTGTGCTGCTCTTTTCTAGACCGGCTTCTTCACCAATGTTGCCACATGCCGATACACACTCTCGCATTGAGCATTTTGCCAGCAGGTACCAGAAGGCTTGGGAAGGAGGTAGAGAAAGTCCAAGAGAAAGATGTTTTCACTTGAGACGGAAAATTGAGTCATGGCAAGGGGATGTTCACAGTGGGGTGTGGAGCAGCCAGCAGACAGCCAACAGATATAAACCCTTTAAAGTGGTTGGGTTATCCCTCAAATTCCACAGTCTACTTGTGGGATTAGTGTGCTCGAGATGAAAGCAGGCCTCGTGTCCTGTTTTTTCTCCTGCTCCTGCTCTTTCTTCCCAGGCTTGCTGAGATGGAAAGTCAGAACTGCTCCTTCTTTAACGACAGCCTCTCCCCAGATGACAGCATGTGAGTTTCCAAAGCTGCCTGTTTTCCAGAAACAGCTCTGTTTGGGGATCCTTGTACTGCTGTTTAGGAAAGGTTCCATAAAGGACTGGAAGCATGGTGGTTAGGGTCCTTGACTCTCTAGGGAAGGACAGCTGCTTCCTGGCCACAATAAGAGAAGCAGTCTTTCTTTTGGTCAGTGAATGGGGGGAGTGAATGGCACACTCCCTCTCTGCAGTCCACACAGGTCCCTCCCTGGTGTGTGATCCCATCTTTGAGGGTCCAAGTACAAAGGATGAATAATGTCTTCAACTGAAGCTATAAAAAGAAGTTATTATCTCATGCTCAAGATACTAAAACTTGGCCAGGGAGATATCTCAGTAGAATAAGCACCTGACTGGTAAGAGCAAGGTCCTGAGTTCAATCCCTGATACTGAAAAAAAAAGATACTAAAATTTGGGCCAGGGAGATAGCTCAGTGGCATAGTGTCTGCCTGGCAAGCACAAGTTCCTGAGTTCAATCCCTAGTACCAAAGAGAAAAAGATACTAAAACCTCACCTAGTTCCACACTAACCCTAAGAAATATCAGGGACTTAATCAAAGCATAGTCCAAGAAACTCCCTGGTCCTATAGCCCAGGAAAGGGATCTTGAGTCTCTGGGGAGCTCTCTGGACTGCTCAGACAGCCTAAGAATAGCTGGCCACATGGATTTGGTCTAATCCTGAACAGACTCAGATCTCTCTTGGAGGTGAAAAAGGGAAGGTAGGTAGAGAGGGCAAGTGGCAAAGAAGAGGAAGTGATTTGCTCTTGATAGCATAGGGAGCTGTAAGTAGAACTCAGAAGTACCGGCATCCTGAATATATTTTCAGTACCTGCACCACAGCTGGTGCCAGATTTGAGTACTTCCATCCTGTTGAACATGTGGCTTTTCCCTCTATGTGATTTAAAAGTAAATCTTCCACCATGTATCTCCTGGAATCTGAGCCAGAAACTGAAAACGCATGCCTTGAGCTGTTGCTATATTTAATACCTGGCCATCTCCTTTCCTCTCCCCACACCCTTGCAGAGATGAGGACCAGTACCTGCTGCGGCACTCCAGCCCCATAACAGACCGGGAGCCAGGCTTTGGACAACATATTCCACGCAGCATGGCCACAGAAAGCAAGGGAGAGCTGGAGAAGATCCTAGCTCACTTGGAAGATGAGAACCGGTGGGTGTTGCCGTGGCACCCTCTTATGTGGGTTCTAGAAGGAGACAGCTTGAATTTAAGTACTGGCACTTCCATATCTTAGCTGTGTGATCGTGCAAACTTACTGATATTTTGTGATCTTCTATTCCCTAATCTGCAAAATGGGTATGATGACAATCACAACAGCTTCCTATGGTCATTTGTGAAAAACAAATTAGATCAGACATATGATATTTTATCCTTGGGCATAGCTTATAGTAAGGGTTCAATAAGTTCTAGCTATGTAATGATTATTTGAATTATTTAAATGTCACCCCAATTTTTCCACTATGTACTACATGTAAGCAGAGAGAATGCAAATGCAGAGAATACAGAAGACAGTATAACATTCCTTTGTTGTCAACGAACTTTCCATGCTAAATGTAAAGGTACTAGCTGAAAGTATTCCAGAGAATGATGACACTACACAAGGCATTTGTGGACTGGAGGAACAAATGTGAGAATTACAGGAATGATACTACTCTTAATAAAATACAGCTTGCAGTAGGGGCCTGAAGAAGATTCAAGATATTTTGAGAGAATAGATGCCACCTTACCTCTTGGAGTAGCATGTCTAAAACACCATTAGTTTACACTTGATTCATTGAGAATCTTGATAAAATATTATGCATAGGTGTGAGTTAGGCCCAAGTTTCTGTACTTTTTGCTATTTAGATGAAAATGTATTAATTTTATGTAGTTCGGGTGAGAAAATTTTCATGACTCTACAGTTAAAACTCCAAGAGGAAAATTCTCACTAGGCCCAAGTATGAGCTGTATACCCTGCACCTAAGAAAGAAAGCACAAATCCTTAATGTGGCTTCATGGCTTGGGTTCTGGCTTTTGCTTCTTCCACCGGTGTCTTCTCCCTTTGATCTTACTCTCTGTCTTCTGCCAAATTGGTTCATGCTGTTCTCTTCCCCTCTTTTTATAGCATCTTTGCCATGCTGTTCGCTTCACTTAGAATGATTTTTTCCAATTGGCTAAGCAAGTTCTATTCCAGTAAGCCAACGGTTTTCTCAGAAAGTTTTCAGTGCTTCCCAAGATATTCCTTATTCATCATTCTGATAACTCCTATGCTTCTTCATAGCACTTATCATGAATGTAATGATAAAGTTACTCATAATCTTTCTCAACCAGCACTTTCAAATGCGTATTGCATGGGCTAATGTCTCAATAAGTAGTTATCAAGTGAATCCTGCAAAGACAAATGGGTAACTAGAAATGAAGTCCAAAGAATTAGGATGCTATGGTCTAAATGTTTGTGTTCTTCTTAAATTTATATGTTGAAATCCTAACCCCTGAAGAAGTTTACCCATCTGGTAGATGACTGCTAAGATTAATGCCCTTATAAAATTACCCGAGAAAGGCTGTTTCTTTCCACCAAGTGATGACGAGTCTATAGGGCATCAATTATGAACCAAGAAGGCTAGAACTTCATTGTATTTGCCCAAACCTTGTTTTTGGACTTTCCAGAGTCCAGGACTATGAAGCATGAATTTCTATTGTTTATAAGTGAGCTGGTCTGTGGTTTGTTATAGTAGTCCAAATAAACTAAGATATGGGAGATATGGTCTCTAAAGAGAACACGACAAAACAATCAAGATTTGTGTAGGAGTCCGTAAACAGCAAAGGAGATTGTAGGTTTTTATTATTTTGATTCAGGAGCCTGAATTTTAGGTACCAACTGAAAATATGACCTCCAGGAAAGAGCTAACAGTCTTAAAGACTGAGATGTTAGCTTCTTCCTACTTCATTCTGGAGAAGTAAGTTTCTGCATTTTTTTTTTTGTGTGGAACCGGGAATTGAACTCAGGGCCTTGTGCTTGCCAGGCAAGCACTTATTCTACTGAGCCATCTCCCCGGCCCTGCATTTCTAACCAGTTCCCAGGGGATACTTACATCTGGCCTATAGACCAGAGATGGAGGGCTGCATATTTAGAAGAGTGCACCTCAGTGTACAGTGTAGACAAGGATCCGCCTGCAAAATGTTCATCACATCCCAAGAAAGATAAATACAGAAATGAAAAGTAGAAAATTTTCTAGCAATTTGCCATTGCCGTGACAGTCAGGCACATAATTAGTGATGTTATCTCAGTGAACAGGCGAGAGACCACTTCGAGAATTATTGAATGTGTGTAGCAGGACATGGGTCATGGGAGCAGTGGGCTAGCACCACATGTTACTCCACAATGGACTGAAGAAAAACCTGGTTTCTCTCTAGGAACAGTTTGAGAAATACTGCATTAGTGCAGCAGAAAACAGCCTATAGGAAATGTTAGACAGAGAGTCATTCTATTTTATTGCCAAAAAGAAAAAAAAAAAAAACCTGATGCCGCCCTGCACCCCAAATAGGTGATCTCTTCAGAATATTTTTTCCTGATAGCCAGCTAGAGCACTCAAAGTGGGCCAAACAAGAGAACTGTGGAGAAAAGTGGCAAGATGGGTGATCTTTTGTGTGCATTGTGCCTTTCCCTGGAATCTAAAAATCTGAAAATGGAGTAGGTGGTCCTAATACCTCTTTTATTTTCAGACCATGTTTCTGGCTTTTTTGAAGGTCAGAATTAATCCCTGAAGCAGCACATCAAAGCCTTGCAACACTTCTTATGTGAAATGTCAGCTCTCTCTGCTCTGAGGTTTCAGGATGGCAGAGTAAATGATATATGTGCTGGGCAGAAAGTGAATATAGCTTTTGAAGCAAGAGCATGGCTGGGACTGAGTGGGCTGGAAAAGCCACGTGATGGCTTACAACTGTGCATGAGAGGACTTCTGGGTCTGGACAGTCAGTCCTCTGATGGAGCCATAGGTTTTGGCTTCTTTGTTTTCTGCAGAATTCTCCAGGGCGAGCTGAGGCGCCTGAAATGGCAACATGAGGAAGCGGCTGAGGCACCCAGCCTGGTTGAGGGCTCTACTGAGATGACACAGGACCACGGCAATGAGGAGCTCCTGGCTGAAGCCAGGATCCTCAGACAGCATAAGAGCCGCCTGGAGATGCGCATGCAGATCCTTGAAGACCACAACAAGCAACTGGAGTCCCAGCTGCAGCGCTTGAGGGAGCTGCTGCTACAGGTGGGGCTGTATACAGTGAACCAGGGTGGCTCCTGAGCATAGGGGAAGTGGTGGGGAGCTGGGAGGTGCAACAAAGAGGAAGAAAGGAATGAGTCCCTTGGTTGTGACTATCAAGTAATACCCCAAAGGGAAACAGGCTGGCAGTTGGGAAGGGCAGGGGAAGGTACCAGCTGGCATGGGCACATCCTTAGTCAGTTTTCTTCTACCTGAACTCCAAGATATTTTTGTGTGTCCTTCTCAAGCTACTGAGGGACTGGGAGAAAGGGGGACAACTTCTGGGGGCTTACTTCTTTACAATCCATTAGGAGATGATAGTAAACGAACAAACTTCAGGGGACGGGGAGATGGCTCAGTGTAATAAGCGCTTCCCTGGCAAGCACAAGGACCTGAGTTCAATCCCCGGTTCCACAAAAAAAAAAAAAAGAAGAAGAAGAAGAACAAACTTCAAAAATCATCTAGAATTTTGATTTTGCAAGTATGACATTTGCTCAAAAGAAGCAAATGTACACATATTGGGCAAGAGAAAGATTGTTGCAAACAACTGTACTCTCATTACTTTTTGCCTCTTTCATCTTTAGCAGGTAGTATATCCCAAGCAGATAGCCCTGGATTTGAATATGACTCTGCCAGCGAGTCACTGTGGAATGTTAGAAAGTTACTTAACCTTATTAAAACCCAGTTCCTTCTCTGTAAAACAGGAATGATAGCAATACCAATATCATAGTGATATTGTGTATTTACAAATTTTAGCATGGAGCTAGGAATATAGCATACTGTTCATAAATGCTATCTAATATTGTCATTATATGTAACAGGCGATAGCATCCCCCTATACCTGTTCCCCAGATTCCCCAAATACTATGTCCAGCAGGGGGTCTCTGAGTGAGCTTCAACCTCTCATCAAATCCTTGTCATCACTCCAGTGAAGAATAAAGAAGTTGGGCTCTTAGCGAGAAAGGGAGGAGTCAGGACTGCTATAGTGGGAAGCAAAAGTTTATTTAGTGTGATAAATGCAGAGAAAGCAAAAAGAGAAACTATCTTAGCAGAAGAGTGATGCTACAACATAGGGGGCACCCCGCTTTGGCTGCCCCAGTGAGTATGAGATGTACTTCATACTTATGGGGGAAAGCTGGTTTGTAAAAGTAAAAGTTTCAAGGATTGGTGGTCTAAGCCAAGTAGAGTCTTAGCCTTTGCTTCTGGGAAAGGGTCAAGATGAGCATATAACTAAATATTAGTAATACTTTCATAAGGTTATAGTGGGGTATATTTTCTTTAGTACATGATAAGCATAAGATGATTTTATAATATTATTCATCTGTGTTTTGTTTTGTACATTTTTTGTCCTTCTGTCCCTACGTGTGGAACAGTCTCTAAATGAATTCCTTGGGATTGACAACATATGCTATTATGGCATGCATCAAAGATCAAGTGTGAACACCACATTAGCAGAGAAAAATGGGTTCTATCTTGTTTAATTATAGTGGAAATGTTGGCAGGAGACCTTTAGGTACTTTGCCACCTTTATAATAGCTGGGGAAAAAATAATAACTGGGGGGTTTTGGTGCATGTTGCTGAAGGAAGAAGTTAATTGTTAATTGAATATAGTAAGATATTTCCTTTAATGGAAAGCCACTACTTGGGACACAACCAAAAATATATTTTTTAATTTTTTTATTTATGGAAGTTTTGTTTTTGAGACAGGGTCTCACTCTGTAGTCTAGGCTGCTCTCAAACTCATGGTGATCCCCTGCTGCAGCCTCTGAAATGCTGGGATTACAGGTGCATGCCCCCACACCCAGCTTCCCAAAGTACCTTAAAGTCCAAGGGGAAAAGGAGGGCCATGAGTTCTCTAAGGTTCTTCAAAGCTCAAGTCAACCTGAGTAAGATCAGGAAAGCAAAGTCACTTAAATTATGTCTTACCTCTTGCTAGCCACCTACAGAAGCAGATGGCAATGGATCTGCAGGTTCATCCCTAGCTTCCTCTCCACAGCAGTCAGAAGGCAGTCACGCACAGGAGAAAGGACAGACAACTCCAGACACTGAGGCTGCAGGTGAGTTCCTGAGCCCCTCCCAACCTTTTTCTCCATGGCTTTGTCTTGTCCCCAGTTTTCCACCCAAGGTTCTGCTATGGCTGGGGACCGCTTTCTCCTCCCGCCTTTGTATTTAGGAATCAGAGGTAACTGCTTTATTGACTGATTAATTCTTATATTTTTTTCTACAAATGTTTATTGTATAGTCAATGGCACATAGTAGCCATTGAAATGGGAAGACATAAGGTCCAGCATCAGCCTTTCAATTGGCAGCATCCAACCTTGGCTTTGAGGCTGTATATAAAGGACTCTCAAGTTACCTTCCCAAACTTTCTTTTCTAACTCAGATGATGTGGGGTCCAAGAGCCACGATGTCAGCCTGTGCTTGGAGGACATCATGGAGAAGCTCCGCCATGCATTCCCCAGTGTACGAAGCTCTGATGTGACTGCCAACACACTTCTGGCTTCTTGATGGAGCCAGATCCCTGTCCCATAATCTGTCATCCTCTCCTGGTTCTGGTCAAAGACTTCCCTCAACCTACACCTAACCGTTCCAGTACCCACGGGCCCCACATCCCTTAACCAGAGTTATTTGGGTTCCAGGCTTCAACATGAATCTGGTGTATGTGAAGGATGTAAAGTGCAATCAAGGGAAAGGGAGGCATGATTCCTCTGACTGTAGAAATGGGCCCTTTAACCCTTGAGTTTGAGACCAGTCACTTGTTCCACCCTTTGTTACAGGCCAAGAAAATAGCAACTGGCTATTTAGATGGGGAGCAGAGAAGCTGCCTTATAGAGCTAAGTAGTGCCCCCTGAGCCCTTTCCCTTCTTCACTGAATCATGGAGAGGGACAAGCCCAATGGCCAGGGTGTCAGTAGGATGAATCTACAGGGATTAGCACTACTTCCTAGTACAATTCAGGGAAGCAAAAGGGTATCCCTGAGACCACCCTTCCAAAGTGCCCCTGAAGAAGTGTGGGCAGGGTATGTCCTAATTACTTCAGTTCCAGGACATAGTTCTAACTCTCTAGATTCTACCTACCTGTTGTTTCCTCTTTGAATATCTTTAGTTCCTTCTGTCACAGCCCATGGAAGACCTTCCTTGAGGGGGAAACAGTTCATTCTGGTTTCTGCTTCAACCTTACATTTTGAAACATTAAAGAAATACTTGTGGACTTAGATTTCTCCCTGACCTTCCTCTTTCTGAAGGTCTCACCTTCCCATGAGACCCACAGAGATACTCTGGAAATCTAGCTGAAGCCATCCTTTACTCTTCTGAATCTGTCTTCACAGACCTGGGGTAGAATTGACAGCTTGCTCAGCAAGAGAGTCTTTCTCTCCCTGGGTGAGAAAAAGAAGCCACCCTGTAGCTTGGAGGGGCATGACTGCCTGCCACCCTTCTAGGCTGTGACCTTTCTATCATTTAGGTGGAATAAGGTGAGGTGGCTGGTTACCCCAGGTAATTATAAGGAAGTTGCAACTGGCCTCCCTAAATAGTGGTACCTTCTTAGGGTCCACTGGCCATGAATCAGAAAGTTGGCCACTTTCTACTCAAACAAAAATGAGGCCTTCCTATGCAGAAAATTATTCTAACTCTGGAAGATGAACATAGTTCTCCAAATTAACACTTCCTAGACAGCATATAACATGACCCCTTTATCCAGAAACTGTGCATAGTAGATAGACCTAGGTGGGAAGAGAGGACTTGGGAACTTTGAGCAGAGTCAGAGCCCCTAGGGTCCTTTCTTCCAAGGGGAACTTCTTTCCCACCAGAGGTCTACAGTCAACTTAATTTTTCTGAGTGTATAAATACATATCTACTCTACATATCTACTATACATCAGAGCTCACCCAGCCTAACTCACACATTAAATTCTAAATACCTCTTGAAGTATTAATGTTCCACGTTGCTCTTTGTTAGCCTCTGCCTCTGGTTGGAAAAATGGATGCATCCTGGCTGCTCCCCTAGGATGTCTTTCTCCATTGATGTTTGGGGTAAGCTGCCCTCAAGACCAAAACAACAAAATTGTTTCCACAGAGAAATCTAACTGGAAAAATAACTGTTCTCTTCACTCATTCTAAATCATGTTCCCCTGAGAACTGAGCATGAGATGAATTTTCCTGGGTATGTTGTATAACTAATTCAGGTGGCCAAATAGAGCAGATCCATGCTCCATCTATTCCATGCAGAGAAGACAGAACAAAATAGCCTTCATAGACAAAGCCTTTGGAAGGAAAAAGAAAAATCCTTTGCGGGACTAAGCCACAGACTACATCCTCTAGCCCCTATCAGATCCTGAGGTCTGACTCAGGACCTGAAAACAATAGTTGTCACTGAGCTCAGAAGGGAATGAAATTGTTGAAGTGCTGTGTTGTAATAAACCAGTGGCCAGTGGTGGAACTCCTGGAAATATAGATTTGTCTGTTCCAGGGAAAGTAGGCAGAAGCTTGGGTCCAGATGCCAGGGATTGCTGCTTCCAACCAGTATGCTGCAGGTCCAGGTTGTCAGCCATCATGTCACCATATCTCCCTCAGTATTTGTGAGGTTTAGAGGCAGGAAAGTTGGATATCTGCATGTATGGTAAGGATGTGGTAGCCAGGCATCAGACAAAGAGCCTGATCATCAGTCAGAATGACGCATCTTTATAGGGGCCTAGACTGTGCACAAGAATAGAATAGAAACAATGCATTGTGAGTCAGAGGGCTCAAGAACTAAGAGGCATGTGCCCCTTATGGGGCAATTTTGTGGAACAATATTTTACCAGGAATGCTCCCTCCCCCAAGAACTCTTGGGCTGCTGAGGGCCTGTGGCAAATACAGTGGGCCAGGCATGGAAACAAACAATGTAGATCTTGTTATGTAGGATGTGTGATATAGGTGGACAGAAGTAGCAGGTCAAGAGTTGAATTCTCACTAAGGAGGTCACTGATGCTTTGTGGTCTTATGTTTACCTGTAAGGCATGAGGTGAGTATGCCACTCAGGGACCCAATGACAGTCACTGCAGTATGTGTGGGCAGTTTGACTGCCATGAGGTAAATGAATCCTTGAGCACAGTGAATCCACATCTGGGTTGGATTTGCCAAAATGTATTGTATGTTGTTAAGCATCTGTTATGTACTATGTCTCCTAATGTCATTATGCATGGTTCTGTATAGTTTATGACCCTGTACTAGAAGGATGGTAAGTTTCTGGGTTGGTTGCCTAGGGAAAACCTTTTGACTTATTTAATTAGAATCAGTGATAAGGGATGTGAGCCTTTCCCAGAGCTGTTGTCAAATGGTATCAGAATAGTTAGGACTGATAGGCAATTTATTCTGAATGGAACTTGTTAGAGGCCAAAGGCAATTGCAAGGATGTTCCTGCTTCCACCTAAAGCAAAGTGGATTCAAACTGATTGGCATTTGTGCAGGCTGATTGGCTGGAGATCTTAAGGCTGTGAAATGGTTTCTTAGAAGGTGCCCCACCCAGGAAGAACATGGGCTTTTCCCTTCAGAATGGAAAAGTTAGAATCAAGGCTCTTAAGGGTCCATTTCCTTTAGGGACCAAAGTTAGAACATAATTCATACAAGGACGCCTTTTTGAATTTCTAGTATTCCAGACACTAGGCTTGTAGGCCACAGTAATGAGAAATGCTGAGGCCAGGCAGAGACCAATCATAGGAAATGTTTTCCAACCAGATTCTTTCTTGAGGAATTACAATGCTGTCTGGGATGTGTGTTTAAAAGCTGTTAGTCTTCCTTGCCAGCTTCAGGCTGGAGAATTCTTTGCAGTCACATTCGCAATAGGAGAGTCATAGCCTCTGAGACCATTTCTAGCCAGCAATTCCATCCAGTGTTCCTTGAGATAGTTGATAGATAACGAAGAAAGTGGCTGCCTTAACATAAACAGTCTTGGGAGATAAACAGGAGGCTCTGTCCTAGGACTGTGGAGACTTAAGCTTCTCAGCTAGGCAGCTGTATCTCTGGGCCTCCCTGCCAAGGCCTGACTCTTGGAACAAAGGAATATTTCAGTGACTTTTCTCCCTGTTTTAAAACAAATGGCTGTGGGAGAGAGAAAAGCTCAAGGCCAGGGCTCTGCTCCCAGTATCCATATCTTCCCACAGCTGCCATATTTGGGAGGGGACCTGCTCAATGTCCTTGTTGTTCGCAGGCAGTATTCAGGCCAAACTGAAGCCTTCTATGCTGCTTGCTGGCTGCAGGAACTGGTCATAAGGATTAAAACTGGGAGAGGGATTTGGGGGAGGTGGCAAGGGTGGCTGGCATGCAAGTGCACAAAAGTTTGGTATCAAAGAGAGGGGCTGAGAGCAAATTGGGTAACTTTGCCACTTACTGTGGTGCTTTCCCCTTTGAATTCTGCTTTGAAAAGAATAAATTTGTACTTGTTTACTTCTGTTCCTCTGGTTATTCTTTAATTCTGGTGTTCACATGTTTCACTTATTTGGGGGTGGGAAGAAAGGACGTATCAAGAAGCCATATGACCATTCCAACACATAAAACCACCAAAGACCACTGCCTGTGGGATAAGAAAGAAAAACCCTCTGGTTCCATCTACCACTATTGACCCCTCAAGGTTTCCCCTCCAAAATTAGCTGGTTAGTCTCATGGGATGAGCTTTGTAGAGCAACTGCCCCTAAATTTCATTACATCAATTTGAGGAATTTTTCACCACCTGAAACAATATAAAAGAATCAGGACACTGAAGTAGTTTTCATGAAGTTATATTTATTCAATCAATCAATCTTTTAGGCTGAGGTTATAGCTATCTATATTTGGTGTTTAAATATGCTTATGAATTGATGGTGATTTTCTAAAATTACATTTTATGGCAAAATGAAATCCTATAGGTTCTTCTTCCCCAACACTAATTTTTCGTTCCTCATCAATCAACGACAAATTTGCCCAAAAGAAATGTAATTCACATAAGTAATTTTAAGTTAGCATATTTAAAAAGTAAAAAATAAATTGGATTAATTTTAGTAATCTTTTATTTATCCCAATGTAAACAAAATATTACCCTTTCAATATGTAATCAATAAAAAACAATTTATATGGTACTTATGTTTGACCCAGGGCCTCATGAATACTAGGCAAACACTCCACCACTGAGCTACTTCACAACAATTTTTAATTTTAATATTTACATCAAAAACCGTACATTTTGACGTACGGTTTCCTTTAGGTTACACAGGCTGGTCTCAAATTCACAATCTTCCTGCCTCGGTTTCCTAAATGCCTGGGATTATTGCTAGCGTGAGCTACCACACATGGCTAAAACAATTAGTAAGATACTCACTTTTTAAAAACTGTCTTCTTTGGAAGGGCCAGGTTTGATAGGAACTAATTTCTTTGGAGCTGTCAGACAGCTGATGAAAAACAACAAGAAAGCCAGATTGATCCAGATAGTTTATTATAAAGACAACAAAAGCAAGACTTGTGAACCTGATAGCTCCCTGAGATCCCTGCCACACAGGACATCACTCTTATGAAAGGGCCTGGATGACATACAATATGAAGGGCGGGACTTGTTGGTGTTGCGTAACCAATGCTATTCTGCAGCATTTCATGGCATACTGCCCTGCGTGGCAGCAACACATCCCTACACCTTAGCGGAAAGAGGGACACAGACCAGAAACTGCCTCAGCACAAGACTGTCTATCTTCATGTTTTGGGCTGATCACAGTGTATTCTGCCAAGACGTGAGGCAGCTCACACTTGAGTCTCGCTTGTGCAGACAGTGCAGGATCATCACGGTCCTGACACCGTGTAGTCTTCCTACAGAAATTCAGCGTCCATCTTATACTTACGGAATATCTCAGTTTGGCCTAGCCACGTATCAGGTGCTCAATAACTACACATTGCGAGTGGATACCATATCAGAGAGCGCAGGTCTCTAAAATGCCAAAGTCAGAATCGCCAAACCATAGCAAAAGAAAACTTCCAGAGGTATCAGAGGGCAGGTGTGCGCATGCGCCTATGTGTGCATGGGGAATGGGGTGGAGATAGAGCAGTAAAAGCCTTTTTTTTTTTTTTTGGCGGAACCGGGGATTGAACTCAGGCCTTTGCGCTCGCCAGGGAAGTGCTTATTCCATTGAGCCATCTCCCAAGCCCCCAATAAAAGCCTTTTGATGAGGAATATGGTGAAGCAGTTCTCCTGGGCTACATTTAGAAGTGGCAGCAGAGGGAACGGAAGGGCACTGAAGATACTTCCGCTTGCCTTTGTCCCTTCCTTTATCTGCCCAACTCCCCTGTCTCTCAGCGGAGCTCTGTGTGCTCTCAGGCTGTAGCATCAGTTAGAGGCTACATGCGAACTCTCCTACCTCTCTCATTCCTGAATGCTACGCTCACTGGCCTGTCTCTCAAAAAGGTTACTTTTTATCTGCTTATACCGCAGATCTCTCTGCCTTTCTTTATCTGGAAAGGCCTTTGTAGCAAATTCTCTGCTTTTCCACTTTATCCCTCAGATAATTCCTTTCCCTGGTTTCTTTGTTCTTAACTTTTAGTTTCTGGGTTTCTGAGAAACAAATGTATATGTCATCTTGCCTTTGAAGCTCTTAACTCCTCGCCTAATCTTGGCTTTATTTTGTTTGAACAGGCCTCTTTCTCGCAGTCCTGCTTTTTCCCCTTGCATTTTCCCCGGCATTTCTGCTGTCTTCATCCCAACTTTTCAGTGTCTGCCCCTATGTACTGACTTCTTCTTTACCCATGGCAAAATTATGACCTGGACTTCAGCACAAAAAGTGGTATCTCAGAACACAGGAGACTGAGGCAGCAGAATCGCTGTGAGTTCGAGGTCAGCCTGGGCTACAAATTGAGTTCAAAGCCAGCCTGAATTGCAGTGCAAGACCTAGTCTCAAAAAGACAAAAAAAGACATAAATAAATAAAAGTGGTGCAGAAGCCTGGTGCAGTGGTACACACCTGTAATCCCACCACTCTGGGAAGCTGAGGCAAAGAAGTGTGAGTTCAGCCCCTGCCTGGGCAGTGTAGTGACTTAATGAGACCCTGACTCAAATAATGAAGGGGGATGGCTGTAGTTCTGGGTTCAATACCCAGTCCCAAACCCCCAACAAAATGGTGCAGACTACTTGTAAATACATCTTCTAGAGCAGCAGCAACTTTTGTCAATTGAGACTGGACCTGGGATTAGATGGGCTACTTCCAAAAACACAAAGTTGCCTCTTGGTGATTGGCATTATCAGCCTTGACTTACAGATGAGGAAATAGAGGCTCTAAGATCTGTAAGGACTTGTGCACTCTCTTCTAAGGATCCCAACCTTATTTTTTTTTACACCACAGTGTGACAGCTCAGTCCAAATAATGAAGATGCATTTATATTGCTTCTCTATATCTCTTCTCTCCAAATCCTATTGTGGTATGGTTATGTGCTGATTTGCTTAGTTCATTCAAGTTATTCTAAGAACTCTTTGGAAGAATGCTCCAGTACTAATAGCATCTTGTCATTTCTTAATCAAAGTGCTATGGTCTAAATATGTCTCCCCCTAAATTCATGCTGAGCTATCTTCTGCAATGCAATGGTTTCAATAGGTGATGCTCTGAAGAGGTGATTAGGTCATGAGAGTTACCCGTGTGAATGGGACAATTGCCCCCTTTTAAGCCCAAGATAATTTCTCCATTCTGCCATGTGAGAGCTCAGCCAGAAGGAACCATCTATGAAGCGGATGGAGTCACCAGAGAGTGCATCTACCAGCACCTTGATCTTGGATTTCTGAGCCTCCAGAACTGTGACCAATAAATTTCTATTGCTTATTAATTACCCAGCAGTCTGAAGGGATCAAGACATAGAGTTTATTGCTTGTTTCCTTTTAGATGTGAATGTGCTCACTGTAAAGGCAGTTTCATAAATAGACAGTAATTATAGGGTGTGGACTTAGCTAAACGGTAAGCACTTGCCTACCAAGTAATATACAAGGCCTTGGTTGGATTTTTTTTAAAAATATTTTAACGGCTTTTCAAATGCAAATGTGGGTGGCCTCCAGGTAGAGCAGCTACTAAGGTGAAAGGTCACTGCCCCACATATTTTATTTTTTTATTTATTTTTTAATTTTTATTTATTTGTGTGTGTGTGTGTGTGTGTGTGTGTGTGTGTGTGTGTGGCCAGCTCAGCCCACCAGGGGACGGGGCTGGCTGGCATGTGGTGCTGGGGGATTGAACCATGGTCCCTGTGCTTTGCTAAGCTTGTTCTAAGTAGGTGCTTTAGACCACTGAGCCATCTCACCAGCCCCCTTGGTTGGATTTTAAACACTGTCAAAAAAAAGTCTGAGGGGCCAGGGAAATGGCTCAGTATAATAAGTGCTTCCCTGGCAAGCACAAGGGTCCGAGTTCAATCCCTGGTTCTGCCAAAAAAGAAAAAAGAAAAAAAGTTTGATGACAATCTGCTTTAAAAGAATTTATTTATTGCTTAAGTAACACAGAACAGAAAACCGCAATACAGCTGAAAACAAAAATTATCAAAATGATCCAGAGTTGTTAAAAGAAATGTCTATAGGCATTAAAGTTATCTGGTTTTTCCTAAACTGTTCTGATGGGGATTAGGATGAGGAGGCTCAGAATAATAACAGCTCAGAATTTTTCAACTGTCTTCTAACTGTTCTCTTCATGAATGATGACAACTGAACAAAGATAAGCAGCAGCAAAAAATCATCCCTGAGCAAGAAAGCAGCCTTATTACCTGAATAAAGATAGGATATATATTACTAACTGCTCTAAGGCACTTAAATTCATTGTTGCAGGACCTAGTTCATAACAGAAATGAACTGCTATTTTCTATGTCATAGGAAATATTTAAAACAATCTGAAGAGTTTGGGAAAGCCAAAATACATGCAAACCAGTAGAATGGCCTTTGAGCCTACAATGTCTGCCTTTGGCAAGCATGGCTGAATCACCAGATGATACCTCAGCAAAAAGCAATTTATGTAATTGTAAAATTGACAAAGAGAAGCAAAATCCATCAGTGAGTAGGGTCTTTAAATCTACTACTTTTTTAGTACTATTTTCTCAAGGATATGACCTCTTAATATGCTCTCTAGCAAAAAATAAAAAGGTTTATAGAGAAACAAATACAGTTCATGCAAGTGATGGGACAAAAAGGTGCATCATTTCATGTAGCCTTTAGTCTGGAGAGAGTTTATGTGCCAGCCTGAAAGCTCTCTTCACTTCTTCATGAAATGGTTCAACTGTACCTGCAGGCAAGTGATCTGTAAGGGAGTGCAAAACAACATGAAAACTTCAGCTGCACTCTTAAATTCTACATCATTCAAAATTTACTTATATGAAACAAAAGAGAACAATTGTCACTTGTCATTTACGTACTTGGCTTAGCCTTAAAATATTCCAAAGAACAGTACCATAGTCAAGAATGCATACAAAACGTTATAGCCGTGATTTGGGCCTTTTTTATGCAAAACATCTAAAAAGAAGGCTTAAAATAGAATGTTTTTTAAAATTGAATATACTTTCAGTTAAAAACAATCTATGCTTCTGCTGGGCACGGTGATGCGCACGTGTAATTCCGGCTCTCAGGAAACTGAGAAGAATTGCCACAAGTTTGAGGTCAACCTGGGCTACACAGTAAGCTCAAGGCCAGCCTGAACTATGTAGTGAGACTGAAAAAAAACAGTCAGTCTTCCCTGCTAAACTGTTAGCTCCATGAAGAGAAGGATTACATTTGTCTTCTTCAGCATTACATCCTGTGCTTTTCACTCTAGAGGCACTCAATAGCTGTTGAGTGAGTGAATTTTCAAAAAGACTGATCTACTCTGCTACCCTCTTTTATTTATTTAACTTTTTGCCTTTTTTTGGCAGCACCCTCCTGTAGAAGTTTTGTCTACTATTTCTGTAAGAGAACAGTCAGGATTTAGGGGTTGGATGGGATATTCTTTATGGCAGATATTTTCTGGTTGAATTAAAAATATTATTTCTTACCTGACCATATGTTTCTTTTTCCTGTGTCTTAAGATTTGTCAGCACACACTTTAAATGGTTCTAGAAAACAAATTGGTGAAGAAGATTAATGCTGAGAAAGGAAAAAGCAAAGGAGACAGGATTTGTCAAATAATTTGAAATACAAGAAAATTGTCAGTCACTATTTAAATGTACTAGAGTATAAAAATCCCTACTAATTATAATGCCATCCTATTTTATTTTATGCACTATACACAGATTTTTTTCTTGCCCTAAAATAAATGGTAGGAATGTCTTGATGCTACCTACTTCTAATTTAATAAAAATCCTTTGGCTGTGATCTTTTTAAAAAGCTGGCTTGGGGGCTGGCAAGATAGCTCAGCAGACTAAAGCACCTGCTTAGGCAAGCTTAGGCAAGCTCAGGGACTGTAGTTCAATCCCCAGTGCCACATACTGCACCAGCCCCACCCCCCGGGAGCACTAAGCTGACCACAGAGTCTGGGTGTAGTAGTACATGCCTGTAATCCCAGCACTGGGGAGACTGAAAGCAGGAGGGTCACTATGAGTCCAAGCTGCATAGTGAGACCCTGCAACAACCAAATACATTTTTTAAAAAGCTGGCTTGAAACCTAGCACTTGTTCTTCCTCGATTTCCCCTCACTAGTGTAAAATGTTACTGCTCTTCACTAATGCTATGTGCAACAATAGCCACAGTAATGCCAATATCTTTATCTTTAGAATGTATCAATATCTATTATCTTTGATTATTCTGAAGGACAATACCCACAGTAAATGTAGTGCTATGTCAAGTTGCTCTCCTTTGATAACCACTGCTCTGCAGAAAAAAAAATCTGACAAAAATATTCCCCAGATGATTCCTTCTGTAGGGAATAAACATGGCCTAATCATACATTTTCCTTTTGTTGAAGTTCTTTTTCTTTATAGTACTCTTATACACATGCACTCTGAAAACCTGTACTGCAGATAAGAAAACAATCAAGAGAGAACAGACTCCATTGCCTTTAACTTATCTATCCCCACAAACTAAAAGCTCTAGCTGTTTGCAGTTACAAACTGCATTATATGCACTATTCTTCCATTCACTTCTATGGGTTGAAGAACAACAAAGAGTGTCCCAACCTGCAACCTTCATTGAAAGCAAAAGAACAAATCTGTGATCAGACTGCTAACCTAGAGTTCTTGCTGGTGAGAAATTCAGAACACTGCTACTGCCTGCTATTTTTTTTTTAGAGGGGATTGAATTCAGGACCCTGTGCTTACCAGGAAAGCACTTATTTTACTGAGCTGCCTGGCCCCTGTCACCTGCTTTTCAACAGAGCTGAATAGAAAATAATAGGCAGTGCTGCTCTTCAGAACATTGTCTTTATACAAATACACTCTAAAACTTCGTACTGCAGACAGGCAGCCGTTAAGCAGAACACTGTCAGACTCCATTCCATATATCTAGATTATACCCAAAGTTTGACAGCTTTAGCTATGAAGTTTAAAATTTCACTTTATCAATTCTTCTTCTATTCACTTCTTTTTTTTTTAAATATTTATTTATTTATTTATTTATTTTGTGTGTGTGTGGCCAGTTCAGCCCACCAGGGGGCGGGGCTGGCTGGCATGTGGTGCTGGGGATTGAACCGCGGTCCCTGTGCTTTTGCTTAGCTTGTTCTAAGTAGGTGCTTTAGACCACTGAGCCATCTCACCAGCCCCTATTCACTTCTAAGGGTAAAAGAGTGCAAACTAAAATATGAGCCTCCATTTAAAATAGCTGAAAATATCTATGATATAAGTTATACCTCTAACCTAGAAATCAGCCCAGTGAGACATTCAGAATACTGCCAGCTCCTGCTTTTCAACAGAGCTGAGTAACATCTTATCATCAATGTATACTTGTGCACTTGGAAAACAAGTATTTCAGATAGGCAGACATTCCAGATAACAGAGCCAGATTCCAAATCCCATATCTATATTTGCTCTATATCCAAATACTGAGAGCTCTAGTACTTTGCAGTTCCAAATTGCACTTTATACATTATGCTTCCATGCACCTCTATGGGTAAGTGAGTACCAAGGAAAATCCTAGCCTGAACACTTCATTTAAAAGAGCAGAGCAGGGCTAGGGAAATGGCTAAGTGGAATAAGCACTCCCCTGGGAAATGCAAGGGCCTGAGTTCAATCCCCAGTTCCACCAAAAAATAAATAAATAAAAATAAAATAAAAGAGCAGAGTAAAATTTTTGATATTAGACTTCTACCGTAGAGTGCATACTAGTGAGCCATTCACAATACTGCTGCCTCTGGCTTTTCAATTGTTTTAAATTTATTTTTATTAGTATGTATTTGACATTCATCATGATCACATTCATCATAGGTGATTTGTATCTGTACAAAAGGTTTTAATTTTTTTTCTCCTTCCCAATGACCCTTCTTCCCCTTGTCACTAGCAAAAGCTTTGTTTTCATTCTTTCCCTTCCATTCTCTGTTTTAAAAATCCCTTTTCCTTTCCTTTCCTTCTCCTTCCCCATTCTTTGTTCCCCTTGCTGTTTGAATGTGTGCTTCTTACTTCCCAATATCTATCTTCTGTTTTGCTCTCTATTTACCCTTTGGGTTTCTCACACAAGAGAAGCAGTGTGATATTTAATCTTGTGTAACTAAATAATTGAAAGTCTTAAACATGTGTTACTAATAATAAGCTATATGTTTATTCTTGTTCAAGTATGCATCATAAATTTGAAATTAATTAATTCCTTGAACTGAACTAAATACATTTTGGTACAAACAATAGGTTTAACACTATGTCCTAGTTTTCACTGTAGTCCTTGGAAAATTACTTAAACATCCTTGAGTTTGAATTCTTTATTTATGAAGTAATAATAGTGACTGCATTTATTTCAGGAGTTCAAAGATGAAATGAGATAATCCATAATTCTTTACGTAATATTTGTGCAGTAAATCCTCAATATTGACAATTACTATTTTAAATCATCTGATCTCCCCACAAAAAAGTTTTTATCATATGTTCAAAATTATTCAGGTACAATAAGGTAGAACCATCTTTTATTGAAAGCTTGTAAGAGGTAATGGGGCTCATAAATGAATCAGAATACTGCATAGAGATGACTTAAGAAGAAACACAGGGGCCAGAGAAATGGCTCAGTACAATAAGCACTTCCTTGACAAACACAAGGGCCTGAGTTCA